GAAGGCCCACATATGAACAACGTTTTCATAGAACAAGCCATCAGAAGCTTCCAAGGTGATATTAGGGGTCTAATGTGTGCGCTCATCACCGGTGGACACGAATGTCGGACTAAAAAATCCACTTTGTGTGAGTCTTGTTTTGCAATATTATTTTTTTTTCCAATTTAAATTTGAAACTGCAGTACTAACCAGCACTATTACTTGGTTTAATCTTGTGTTTATGAACATTTAACCTCCGAATCTAGACATACTTTGTAGTATGTGTATCTCAAATTTTCAGAGGTTGTAACCTCTAGATTGAATCACCATTAAGCCGTGAATAAATTGGCTTCATTCACCATTGTAGCATCCCCTGCAACAACATATATAAGGGGGTCTCGCCAGTCATTTGCTAATACCAACACATAACACTCTTCTCCACACTCTCTCGTTTTCTTTGAGTTCTTTTGCAGTCTTTGTAGTTCGGTTTTGGTGATAGAGGAAATGTGTAGTTCTAGTTCGCTGAGACGGTTCTGAAAGTGTATCGTTCAACCGTCGTTGTCGTTGTATCCTGAGAGACGGACGTCCAACGTTACCTCAAAGCACTCACCAGAGGGGACGAATCTGTTTTAAAGAAAGCGTGATTCATGTGTCTCGACATCATCCGTTCTATTCGGTTTTCCAAATTTGATAGAAAGTTGAATTTGCATTGTAACAATTTCCATATATTGTGCTTGCAATAAATTATTATATTTTGTTCTTCTTTGTATTATTCATATTATTGCTAACAATATATATTACATACACACACGTATATCAAAAAGCATGTGCATCAGAAATAAACTTATAATCTCCAAATAAAAACAGTATTACTTGAACAAAAGCCATTACATTGAAAAAGATGTCAATGGGCCCATTTAAACATGTTAGTCTAATAAATAAATACAAAAGATACAAGAACCACGACCAGAAAAAAAAAAAAAAAAAAAAAAAAAAAAACCACCACCAAAAAAAAAAAAAAAAAAAAAAAAACCCCACCCCAAAAAAAAAAAAAAAAAAAAAAAAAAAAAAATCCAGCCAACATGTATAAAACGCTACTTCGGATTGGGGTTATAAGATCAAACGATCGAGCAACAATCTGTGATGAAGAACACACGCCTAACAAACAATCTCTCTATCTAGGGGCCAGGGGTTTTCCTTTCTCTTACACGAGTTAAATTTCAACGAATAAAAGAAAAAATATGCTTAAATGTTGAACCAGCTGAAAGAATTAAAGAAAACAGATTAGAGATAACAGGAGTAACGAAAGCACATACGGCAAAAGCAATCGCCAATATTAGAGACAAATCCAGACGTCGTCTTCGGAGAGATTTGTTGGGCAAATCATTGACAGAAACCAGCGGCATCGGCGAGTCTTGTTGGAGCGAATTGTCACGAGACATCGCCATTGGAGAAGGTGTGAGGACTTCTGAATAACAAAACAGACGAATGAATGAAAATAGGTGGAGATAGAATGACCTACATCCACTTTATAAGTTACGGAACCAGCATCGGCGAGTTTTATTTTTATTTTTATTTTTATTTTTATTTTTATTTTAAAGAAACTAGTCTAAAACGCGCGTCACTCATTTATGAGGGAAAAGAAAAAGAAAAAAGATATGAAAAAAAAAAATGAATGAAATAAAGACAAAAAAAAAAGGATATGAAGCAAAACACAGGGAAAAAAGACCAAAAAAAAAAATTTGTGTAAAATGTTTCACAACTGAAGTTATAATTTATAAGGATCAAAGGTAAAACATATTTATATAGGGACATGTAATATTTTTTTAATTGTTTTGTGACCTTAGTAACATTAGTATTTTCAAATTAGAAGTTTACTTTACATATTTTAAAACTTAATTATTATGATGAAATAATAGATTTAACATTTGAAATAACAATATACTTTGAAGTACAAATGAAAATATTATATCAAATATGTTATTTTTACATTTTTAGGTGTCAAAGATGCTATTGATATTAATATTTATATTGGAGATAGTCTAACATAATATGCTTCTCTTTAACTGTTCTTTACAATTGTAACTCTCCAAAACTTCCTCCAAACATGTGCTTTGTGTCCATGTAGTCCAAAACCTTGTCAAAATCACTCCAAACCTCGTCAAGAACAACCAAATTGGAGATATGGATTTTGTGCTCCGTTTCAATGTTGTGCGTGCAATACTTCATCGTCGAACAGGACTTTCCAGCTCCACCGAAAAAGGGTCTCTGACTGCAAAATATCCCAACGTGTTAGTGACCGCCTATAGGGCCATGGCCCCAATAGTATTTTTAGCCCAAGTCCAGTTCTAGAATGGGCCAGATGGTTGAGACTGTGGGCCACACCGACAAGTTTCTGGGTATTGTCGACATGGATCACAAGTTCGGATATAACATCAGCGATAAGTATGTTTGAAAAAAAACAAAACAAAAAAACGCAGAGAAAATTACATAATTTATCTTTAAGAATGCATTAGTCTAGACTTTTATTTTAATACTCTTGATAAATATATTTTTGTTAGTGTAATTATTTAATTAAAAAAGTTATAAATTAAGAATAAAGAGTAAAAAGAGAGAAGTCTTTTGACACTGTTTATATACTAAATTCTGAGCAGTTTAATGTGCAGGATATTAATGAGATATCAATATTTAATTACAGAGATAACAAAGGAGAGAACAACGGTTTTAGACTAAATAAACAAAAAAAAAAAACCATAGGAGAAACGATTTGGCAATAGATCAAAAGGGTAAAGTAAAAGAATTCCCACTTTTTAAGTGTCTCAACTTTTCATCTTTTCATATATATCCCAAATAAAACTTAAAAGCAACAACGGAAAGCCAGTTTAATTATTTTCCTCGTTAAAATAATAATAATAAAAAAAGAAATCACTTTGCATGAGTTTAAAACATATCTACACGCATTAATCGAAAAAAAAAATACACACACATATATGTATACACACGCACGTACATGTATATATATATATATACATATATATTTATATTTTAGTTTCCAGGAAAAAAGAAAAAAGAAATAAAAGCTTTATTGTACTCTCTCTCATCTTCTTTCATTGGTTCACAAATAATAGCAATTTCCTGTCTTGAACGAATGCTGAACAATATTGTTGCTTATTAGGTTCCGCGTGGCAGACTCTTCTTTAATAGGAATGTTATTTAAATCAACAATTCTTTCGGTGCAGGCTCTAACAGCTTCACAATAATCCAAGCGTGTTCCCACCTAAAACACCATATTCCATTATTCATCCTAGTTTTTCATTCGTCACTGTTAATTAATCTTTCATTTAAAACACAAAAAATAAAATACTTTACCTATAAATTATAGTTAAGTTCGACTCCGGAGATCGTAAACCTGTGATTAAACTTCAAATCAGAAGATAGTAAAGCTTATAAGGCCCTAACAAAGAACATGTACCCTCCTAATTTTGACACGAGTTAGCAATTTTACTTGCCAACTTCACATATATAGTCGTATCAAAGAAAAAACGATTATATTATGACCACTGTTATATACAATCTACTTAAACAATAAAATGGTCAACTAAACAAATCTAGTTTGGCTTTCAAATTGGAGCCTTTTACGTTAGAGGAACATCTTGTAATTTTAACTAAACAATTAAAAGAAGTGTAATAAAAGAGTATTAGTTTACATAAGTAACTTAGCTTTCATAAATAACTGATGCGGTGCAAAAAGAACTAGTTTTTTTGGCGCGTTGGGAACATCCCAAAGTCAAATAAGGTAAAATTTTAATTTTCATAAGATCTTTTGACGATATCATATTTAGATGAAAAATATATGTTTTCTGAATGAAAACGGGTCAATGGACAAGACTCGTCGCATATGTGTCACATATTTCAGGCAGATTCCTTCGTTTAGTCCTCCAAAATGGGGGGTTTTTTTCCATTTTTAGTGATTTTTTGTTTTTGTAATAAGTTGAGCTAGGAAATTCACATTCCAGTTCCGATTGCATTTCCTTTTTCCTTGCATGTAGTTTCAGATTTTGTTTCCAATTCATAATTTTCCTTTTTTGTAAGATTTTGTATTTTTAATTTATTTTATTTATAGAATAGATTAACTTCCTATTTCTATTTTACATATTTTTATGGACGCTCTCTTGTAATGAAAATCAGTTCAGTTGAATAAAATTTCAAAATTTTTCTTAAATTTTCTCTTTTCTCAAATTTCAATATTCTGTGTAAATCAACGGGTTTTTGAACTAATTTTTCTAACATTCTTTATGAATGAACAGATTAATTAGTTACCATTTTCCTTTATTATTTAGTTTTTTCTTTAATCAAAGCTTCCGCAACATTAATAACTCAACGCACATCCGAAGTATTAACAATTAACTACTTCTTTGACTTGCAGTTGCCTGTTTGTTAACATTTTCTTTTTCTGCCCAATATAATAAAACCATACTATATTGTCCCTTACATTTAACCAAAGGAAAACTATAGAGTAACAAGATAACCATTAAGCAACTATGCTCCGTTTATTTTACCGATTTGAGTTTAGAAATCAGTTTTGTTACAGTAAAAAATTCTCAAAAATAATCACATTTAACTTTTTTACTACAGTAAAAAATTCTTACATAAAATTATATCTCAATTTAAATTAAAAATTAAAATAGTAAATTAATCGGTCATATATATATATATTTAAAGGTGAATGAATGACGGTCCACCAAATTAACAGATGAAGACAGAGGCACATACAGAAAGAGCCAAAAACTGTGCCCCCCAGAGGCAAAAGCTACTCTTTTATTGGGTTGTACAGCCCACGACTCACGCTCGCTCACTTTCGCCACCATTTCGCAGACGAAGTTTCTCTGCGCCCACTAACCTCATGTCCCAACCCACAAGGCCACAAACATATGTCATATACATACATTCCTATATCTATATATCATATATAAGATATCACATGACATAATACATGATCATCATCATCATCACCGTCATAAAAGCCTAAACCCACCACTAATGACCTACAACTAACCCCAGCAAACTCAACAAGTCTTTCTTTCCTCCTTTAAATACCCACACTTCCTCACCACGTCTTTGCTCTCTCTCTCGTTTTACGACTCTGCAACAAAGGAGCTACCAAGTCATCCACTCACTAGTCACTATGGGCGAGGTCAGTCTCTCTCTCTCTCTCTCTCTCTCTCTCTCTCTCTCTCTCTCTCATTCTGTTTCTCTCTCTTGTGGCTTTGTTGACTTTAATGGCGTTTTGGTGTGTGGGTGCAGAAGAAGAACGGCGGCGAGAAGAAGAAGAACGGCGATGGAGGAGATAAGAAGAAGGAAGATAACTCTCTCACTGTGGTCTTGAAGGTCGATATGCACTGCGAGGGCTGTGCCACCAAAATTGTCAAGACTGTTAAGAGCTTTGATGGTCAGTATTAAGTTTCTGGAGATTCGTCAAATTTTCCCGTTGAGCTCTTCTTAGTTCTCAGATTTTGCATGTGTCTTGAAAAATTACCACAGATTCGAATTGGTTTCACTGTTTTTACATACATTTTCCCCAGATTTTGCATGAGGAAAAAAAATAGAAGGTAGATTTACAAATTATACTGGTCCCCTATCTCTCCAGATTCATTCGTTTTATCAGATTTTGTTTCCCTTTTTTCCTCATGACAAAAAGGGTTATTGTTATTATTGCAAAATTACTTCTCTGCTTTTGCTCCGAAACAAGAATTAAAACTGATGAAAACTCATTGTTGTGTTGTGTGGTGCTTTGGCGGTGGTGAAGGCGTTGATGATGCGAAAGCAGAGTTCGCGGCGAACAAGCTGACGGTCGTCGGAAAAGTCGACCCGTCGAAACTCCGGGAGATGCTCGCCGTGAAGACCAAGAAGAAGGTCGACCTGATCTCTCCGCAGCCAAGCAAGAAGGACGACAACAAAAACGATAACAAGAAGAAGACCGACGAAAACGACAACAAGAAGAAGCCCGACGAGAAGAAACCCAAAGACAAAGAGGTAACTCTCTCTCTCTCTCTCTCTCTCTTCCATGCTGCCTGCTAACGTGCGCTTGTCGCGTTCTGTCCACCCATTAGATTCTGCCTTTAAACGGAAAATTACAATTCCGATTTCCACCACGGCGCACGTTAGGCTTTCTAATTTGTTTTTTGAAATTAACATATTCAAATCGAGGATTTTCAGAGCTGTTTGTTGGTTTGTTGTTGCTTGCTTGTAATTGTTAATTTGTAATTAACTTCAAGTCATGTGGAGGCGTCTCTTTCAGCAAAAATTCAATAATATTAATTTGCATTTAAATAATGATTTACAGTTAAGTGTGTAATATTTTAATCTGATTTTTCGAAATTGTATAATCGTGAAGCCTCCGGTGACGACGGCGGTTCTTAAGCTGAGACTGCACTGCCAGGGTTGCATCGGGAAGATTCGCAAAACAGTAACCAAGACCAAAGGTGAACAACGGCGCCGTTTCAAATTTTGCACTTATCTTTCGAAATAGTATCAATAATCAATAAATAAAATAAAACTAACGAACGTTGTCGTTTTCTGTGTATTGATTTACAGGGTTCAACGACATGTCGATCGACGAGCAGAAGGAGCTGGTGACGGTGATAGGGTCGATGGACATGAAAGCTCTGGCCGAGAGCTTGCAGGAGAAGCTGAAGAGGCCGGTCGAGATTGTCCCTCCGAAGAAAGAGAAAGACGGCGGCGAAAAAGACGGTGGTAAGGCCGACAACGGAGGCGGAGGAAAAAAGAAAGGCGGCGGCGGCGGCGGCGGTGGCGGCGATGGAGGGCAGAAGGCGGAGGGAGACGGGGGAAAGATGGAGGAAAGCAGGATGGAGTATATGGGCCAACCCTTGTTTGGATACGGGTATGGGCCGGGGCCGGGGTTTGGCTACGCGTATCCTCCGGGGCCGGGGTTCGGCTCCGCGTATCCTCCGGGGCCGGGGTTTGGCTCCGCGTATCCTCCGGGTTACGTGGGTGAGCAGCTCCACGCGCCGCAGGTGTTCAGCGATGAGAACCCAAATGCTTGCTCTGTTATGTGAGGTCGAGAAAAGGATACTGTAAATAAGAGGGATAGAGAGAGAGTAAGAGAGACGTAGATATGGAAATTTTGGATTTTTGGTTTTGGGTTTGGTACTTTTTTAAGTTACTACTACACGAACTTGGTTTGCTTTGCTCCAGTTTGTGGGTACTGTTTGTTTAAATTTTTTTCCCCTTTTTTTGTCATGTTAATTCCCAATATCTAGTTGGTTAATATTCAATTTTAGAATATGTTCTATTGTCTGTTAGTTATGAATTTATTTCTTCTATTAATTATATGTTTTGTCAGCTGATAACTCGAACAATTCAATTGAGCTGACAGTTACTTGATTTTTATTTTTTTATTTTGCTAATCAAGATAAGTGTATTTTTTTTTTTTTTAAAAGGTTAATATGTATTGAATTGTAGTTCAAAGTGTTCTTATAGTCAATTTGCCCAAAATTTCAAAAGTTTTGGAGAGCTGGGGGGCATTAAAAACATGACGGTGAAAGTGTCCCTCAGAGTGGGGTTTGACAAATTGACGTGTCTAAGCCACACAGATAAAGACGTGTCACTGAAGTCGCATTCATAATCTCCACCCAACTCCCACATATCGTCAACATAAGATAATATACGTGCATAAAAAATACCAAGCAAACAATAAAATAAACATAAAAAATCTCTATAAAAAAAAAAAGTGCATGCAGATCTTGAATATTCTTAAATATACAGATATTTCTCCAAAACGGTCTTCTTCATTATCTAATACAATAAATCATCAGCTGGCGAGGCAGCACCTACCATTAGACGCCAGGTTTGTTGTTTCTTCCAGTCTTGACTCTTAACTGCACAACTTTTAATTTCGAGCTAGTACAGTCGATAGTTCTAATTACTTTTTTTTTTTTACAAAAATTTAAATTTAACTTTTTATATTATAATATTTTTCTTCGTAAAAGTTTACTTTTTAATTCAAGTTATCAACTCCAACAGACTATTTTAATTTTATAAGACTTCATAGCGTAATAAAAAACAAAAAAAACTCCCCCATTTAAAAAAAAAAAGCTAATAATTACTAGCTAACATTCTTTTAGGTGTTCATATTCCTTTAGAACAAACCACATTAGATGACCGCACCAGCATAAATGGACTTGGTAAAGATCGTTTCAACAAACATTCTTTGCATATGCCAATTATTTCGACTATGGCTATAAAATTTAGAATTATATATTCCTCTCTTACTTTCTAGGTGGAAAAAAGTAGTATATTGTTGCTCACATGTAATAGTCTTAGGAACCAACCCCACATGTACGCAAAAATAATAGCAGAAATTGAGTAATTACAACTTAGTACGACGTTCGTACCCATTTCCTCACACATAGCCCCTTTCCCTAGTGGGATTTTTTTTTTTTTTTTTGCAAAAAAAAAAAAATTAGTATAGCAATTCGACATGTTGGGTGGTCATTGCAGGATGCAAAGCATGTGGTCTTCATATGCTATCATACTCTGGTCTCTGACATTAATTTGTAGTGTGGTGAGCCGTGAGACAAATACCATATGCAATGATAACGAAAATTAGACTAAGGAGTGTGTGACTAGTTTGATTTATAATCTATCATATGTAGCAGTTTCCAAAAGGAAAGTGGAGATCAGGAGAATGGCTTTTTTTTTTTTTTAATCCTCAAAAGTTCATCATTCAGTGGGTGGAATTCAAAGCCAATTTTGGTAAACCCAATAACAGGTACATCCGTTTCAAATGGTTAACAATTATCTAGCACTATTGTCTATTGCATTATCTAGCACTGGTGTGACTTCTAATCGCTGGTGTATCTCTTCACCTAATCCAATTTATTTCACATGCGCTGAACTAAAGATTAATAACAATTTTTTTTTTTTTTTTTTTTACTTTTAAAAAAAATGAACATAATTGTTTACTTTAAAAATGATAAATGCTTAATATATTTAATTTGATTTGTATTTGTCTTAATTTTGTCCTTTATTTAAGTTGTTTTTTCATCGCCAAATTGCCCGAGGTTTACGCTTTTTTAAATCCAATCGTATATGTTATGCCAGTAATACTTATACTATTTTTTCTCTTAACTTTTTGTTTGGTAAGCTGCTGTAAGTTTTTTATGAGATTTTTAATATTGTCCCAGACAAATTTATAACTTATTCAGAACAAAATTACCAATTGATATGATTAGATAAGTCTTAGCTTTACAGTATGTGAAACCTCATATTCAAATATTAAAATTAGGGTATAGCCATAATAAGTTAGGATCACCATGTTTCATTTCCTTATTCTTACCTTTTTCCATTGCAAGGCTTCTTGGAGTCTTCTACAACTGGAGTATGAAAGAAAATTTTATCCTACAATTAGGCCTTTGTTTTGAGCTGTAAAATATTTGTAAAATAATGTTAATTTTATTTATTTATTATTTTAATGTGATTTTAATCAAAGCATATCTTTTTATATCATTTGTTATTCCAAAAAAAAAAGAATAAAAAAACACAAACCTCTTCTCAAATTCCTTAATTATAAATGTTACTAATATTTTGTATGATAGACATCTCTTATAATAGAAACTTTTAGAGTTATGATCATTTAATATTGGAATAAATGTATTTTTTATATATGAATACATTACATATCTACAAAATATATATAATTTAAAAATATATATATATATAAATTGAATTGGTTTGATTTTTTAAAAGTTAAAACCACAAAGCAAACCAATTTAATTAGTTTTTTTAAAAATTTAAACCAAACTAAACTAATTATTAATTAGTTTGGTTGGTTTGAATGATTTGTTGCACACCCTACCCATAATAATTAGTGAAAATGAGGAAAGGAAAAGCACGTGTTTTAAGGTAACTTATGGGAATCATTAGCAAAAAAAAAAAGGTAACTTATGGGAATTGTCCTTTCTTATTGTTGCGAATTATTTTTTCGATTGTTGAATTAATTTTTTAACAGATTAATATGTGAATATTTAAATTAAAAATTGATTATGCATGACATGTAAGCCTCGTTCATTTCACCGATTTGAGTTTTACTATAATAAAAAATTCTCAGAAATAGTTAAATTTGTTAATATAGTAAAAATGTCTCACATGAAATTACATCCCAACTTAAATCAGCAAACTAAACGGGCTTGTAATTGTTTTCATTTATAAATCAAATATTAAAAAAGTTAGGTCATATTCGTCTTGTTAGTTCAAATAACAATTTAAGTTTTTGCTATAGTATTTTTCTCAAAAAACTTCAAATTCAACAGTTTTATGCTACAGTGTTTTCACTCATATGAATTTATTTTTTTAACTCAAATTATCAACTCAAACGGGCGAAACAAATGATATCTTAATTAATCCAACGACTATAATGGCTTAAACTTCCTAGTAATGACGAAAGTGAAAATGCGACAAATACCACTTAAAATGTATGAGTCTTTAATTTTCATCTTTTACTATTGACTGATACCCTTTAGTTAAATAACTATATTAGCCAAAAAAATATTAATAAAAAATAAAAAATAAAAATCTTAAAATAATGCATGAGTTCACTAATTTTCTCATTAAAAAAAAAAAAAGAAAACCTACCATAAAAAATACATATTTTTAGAGGAAGAAAATGAGAAGCAACGTTGAGCTGGTGGACAAGGTGAATTTGGGCGAGTAACGGGGTAGAGAGACCCACACGTTAGGGTAATCAGTGTATGAGCATGATTTTTATCATTTATTTTTAATTTATAATTTTTTTAATTAAATAATTACACTATTAAAATGATATTTATTAAAAATAAAAAGTAAAAATTCATACTTATATTCTTTTTTAATTTGTCACGAAATGCGTCAACCGTGAATTGGATCTCCGACCAGACACGTTTAACTTTAGCATTGGACGTCTTAATGCGCTGTCCTTCGTAGTCTTTCTTAAAGATAATTCGCGTTGTAATTGAGAGGGAGTGAGAGGGAGTCGTGTATTTTGGTGTGGTGTGTGGGCTAGTGGCTGTACCGTATTTTTTTTGTCCCGTTTTGGGGCCAGAGAATTTCCAGGAATGTTCTTTTTTTATTATTTATTTATTTATTTATATAGCGAAGGTTTTAAACTCCTCCACGCTGAAACGGAAAAGCCGACGGCCAAATTGTCCACTTCTCTGTTACCTGCAGGGAACTTCACATGTAAATATCCACTGTCCTTTCCTTTCCTTTCTTTTTTCCTTTTTTTTTTTTTTTGTTCATAATATTCCCCCTAATAGGGTACAAACTATAAAAATACCCTGTTAGTAGTGAATGTTTTTGGACCGTTACATATGTTTAATGGGGAATTTATAGTATTAAAACAAGGATTGAGTTCTCTTTTTTTTTTTTTTTCTTTCTTAATTTCTATTCGTTAAAAAGAAAAAAATATTTTGAGTTAGGTAAATGTTGTTATTTTTTTTTTCTCATGAGATAAATGTTGGTATTTGATGTAACACGTATGAGGCCAACGTATTACAATGAGATGTACACCTTTAGACGTCTCTTATTAATAATTACATTGTGTGTTATGATTCTAGTAACTTTTGCACTAGTTAAAGTCGTGCGATAAGAATGTTAGTGTAATGATTCTCAAAGCCTTAAACCTCATCTAAATCAAAAGTTTTGATAATTCTTTGAGGATGTATCTTTGATTAATTGAGTGCTTTTCTTATATGTTCTTCTAGATTTTTCGCTGTAACTTGCGAGAGAGAGAGAGAGAGAGAGAGATTTGTCATACCTGATAAAGTTCACATGGTCATATCGATTGCGACCAATATATGCATTACAATGATCACTTTCCTTTTCTAACTAGGGACTTATAATTACTTTCTTATCCTCTTCACTACAGTTATTTTTTGTTGTAATTAGTTTTGTGTGTGTGACTGTGTTTGATGAACTATATAGCAACTACAGTCAAACTTCAATAACAAATGTTTGATAAATTCATAATTTCTCTTAAATAACAAAAATCTTTCGATCCCAATTATTCGGGCCACTATGCGAAATTACTACGACAAAATTAAGAAATATACCCCCTTTTTAACTTAATTTTGAAGTTTCATGTCATTCTTTTAAAATTCCGTTCTTTTTAGGTAGATATATATTAGAGAAGTTGAGGGCACAGATTTTATAGCATAATTTTAGAGGACATTTCTCTGGATTTCCCAATCAACCCCACTAAATGCAAAAAAAATAATGTTGTTTTAAAAAGTACTTTAGGGCCCAAAACGCAGACATTAACA